ATCGCGGGAAGCCAGTTGGGCTAAGGGCAAGGCGCGAACCCATCTAGCCGTTGCTTCGACTGTTCCGCTGAAGAGCCACCCATCCCAAGCTGACCTTTGTTTTTTCCCATGTCACTTTTCTTCTAGAGCAGAACTATTGTGAATCTCGCTATCACTTCCTGCACTCGATGGACGGGGAAGGTTGCGCAAATATGTTGGTAGAATATTCCTCCGCCAAGGGATATCGCAGCGAAGTGGACATGTTTGTGGCTCAAGCTGTGTTGCAGTAGGTGTTCCTTTCTACGTCGGATCTTTCAGCCCAAACTTTTGTGTTCTATCCGCCATGGCCAAAACAAGGCATGGGTTGACCCATTGGTTTCTCACCACCTACTATTTGGCCGTAGGGCTGTAAGAAATGGCGATTTATCTTCCAACCATCCAGCTGGGTTGGTCTGTTTTGGTCTCCTTTAATAGTTGTCGCAAAGATGTTTTTCCAGGAAGGCATCTAGGCTGGGTTTTTTTTTTTCCTTGAGGAAGAAGATGATGTTTCGCATCTCACCTGAGAATTCTTGGATGAGAAGTGAAACTACTACTATTTCTCTTCCTCCCCTCCTCCTCCTCTCCTCTCCCTCTTCTCCTCTTGCTCCTCTCTTCCTTCTGCCCCTGTCCTCCCCTTCTCCCTCTCCTCTTCCTCCTCCTTTCTTCCTGTCTTTCTCCTCTCTTCCTCCTCATTCTCTTCCTCCTGTTCTCCTGTCCTCTTCCTCCCCTCCTCTTCTCCTCTTGCTCCTCTCTTCCTCCTGCCCCTGTTCTCCTCCCTCTCCTCTTCCTTTCCTCCTGTCTTCCTCCTCCCCTCCTCCTCTTCCTCCTGTCCTCCTCCTAATTCTCTTCCTCCTGTTCTCCTGTCCTCTTCCTCCCCTCCTCTTCCTCTTCTCCTCTTGCTCCTCTCTTCCTCCTGCCCCTGTCCTCCCCTTCTCCCCCTCCTTTCCTCCTGTCTTCCTCCTCTTCCTCCTGCCCTCCTCATTCTCTTTCTCCTGTCCTCTTCCTCCCCTCCTCTTCCTTCTCCCCTCCTCCTCCTCTCCTATCCTCTTCTCTTGCTCCTCTCTTCCTCCTGCCCCTGTCTTCCTCTTCTCCCTCTCCTCTTCCTCCTCCTTTCCTCGTGTCTTCCTCCTCCCCTCCTCCTGTTCTCCTCATTCTCTTCCTCCTGTCCTCTTCCTCCCCTCCTCTCCTCTTCCTTCTCCCTCCTCCTCCTCTCCTATCCTCTTCTCCTTGCTCCTCTCTTCCTCCTGCCCCTGTCCTCCCCTTCTCCCTCTCCTCTTCCTCCTCCTTTCCTCCTGTCTTCCTCCTCCCCTCCTCATCTTCCTCCTGTTCTCCTCATTCTCTTCCTCTTCTTCCTCCTCGTTCTCTTCCTCTTCTTCCTCCTCCTGAAAAAAAACAAAACCCACCAGCCTCTTTGAGACAACAGTGACCTGAATGAGGGAGAATCTCCATAGACACATTTACCAATTTGCCGTTCATTCCCCGTTTTAGATTCCTCTGCTTGAAAAACAAAACCAGCGCCTTAGTGGTTTTCACGACGTACACGGAGAAGC